CACAACCAAGTATGACATCAGGTCTGTGGTGATCGATCAGAGCCTGAAATTGGGACTGTTTCGTAAAACTCTTGAGGCCATTGCAGTTATGACTGCTTTCAATGCCTTCCTTCTATTTTTCCTTGGTGAAGAGAACTGTAGGGGTGGTGCCTTGTCAGTGGGAGTGGAGGCTTGAGGACCACTTGCAACATCAACCTCGCTTGCATCGTCATGGAGAGCTGAGTACCGGTTAGGACTAGTGAAATCAGCATCCAGAAGGGAAGATGATAATTCTGCATTGATGCTGTTACACTTACAGCATATCCACGAAAAACTGCTAAGACGGGTGAGAACACTGTACGAAGAAGCCGAGATACCTACACATGAGATGTGACACCAGGCATCACAATTGTCACACAATATTGCTTTATCATTGACAGAGACCTCCGACTTGCAAATAGCGCATCTAGGAGTGTCTGGACCTGGGTTGGGTTCAACTTGCCCACTGAGAAGTAGTAAGATGGCCAGGTGGCTGGTGGAACGAATGTTGAGGACACATGCAGAGTTACTGCGCTTCTGCTGGAATCTGAGAAAAAGGCAGAGGCTGCGTACACCTGCATGACTAAAATCACGAGAGCTGAAGTTAGGCAATATCAAAAGATGTTCCTGCTGATCTAGAAATCGTGTAGCACTTTCTTCAATGACGTATGTCTTCACAAGCACGTGCATAGAAGACATAAGGACAAGTAAGCTGATGAAGAGGTGATGTTCCTGCATGATGTAGGAAGGAAGCTAGGTTTCAGAGACAAACAGCTCGATTTTGATGGACTATAGATTGGTGCAAATTTCGATAAAATGCTAAAGACTATAACACAGGATAACAACTGAGAAAAAGCTGGTTTGGTCTCACTTGAATTGAGTTGAATTTGTGAGTGTAGCTTTTACAAAGTCCAGCAAAAATAACTGGAAAATAACTGGAAATAAAATATCTGGATTGGTCTTACTTTATCTTGGATGGTTAAGAATTCTAGATGCTTGTAATAAAATATCCACAGATCATGATGAGTGATAAGGAAAAGTTGACTAGAAGACTGAGTTGATGTGTGTGTGTAGATGTTCCTAAGTCCAGCCTGAGCAAGAATCTCAATGCATGGGACCACACTGTAGAACTTGTGCTGGGCCCCCTAGACCAAGCTTGAAAACTGATGAAAATATCACTTGAAGTAGGGTGTTACATGAAGATCAAAATGGTCTGGAAGGATCTAGAAGGTTGTTTGAAGATGATGATAGGGCGCGCATCACAAATAACTTAAAGATTATAGTAAAAAGTGAAATTTAATTTGGTAATGACAGGAGTACATGAACCACACTATGCCAACAGTAGTCAGCACGATTTGTACAATCGACTTCATGAAGGCCTTTGACCTCATCGACCATACGAAGGCTCTACAAAAGCTGATTCAACTGGATGTCAACCCGGTCATCATCACAGCGATAGCTAGTTTTCTCACGCAACGTACGCAGACAACTCGATATTGCGGTACATCATCATCTGAGCAAGAGCTATCATGTGGGGTTTCACAGGGAACCAAACTCGGTCCGATAATCTTCTTGATTATGATCAACGATGCCGCCGAGACTAACTCCAAGAGATGGAAGTATGTTGATGACGTAACTATTGTTGAAGTTGTCCATAAAGCAGAGCCAAGTCATCTACAGTCTCATGTGGATGCTCTATCTACATGAAGTGAGTTGAATTCAATGAAACCAAAGCCTGAAAAATGTAAGGTGATGCATGTAAGTTTCCTGCGTAATGGTCCACCTTCACCAGTGATTACTATTGGAAATCAAGTTTTGGAGTCTGTAACGTCGCGTCGCCTGCTTGGTGTTATCATTCAGACAAACCTAAAGTGGGATCTACAAGTGGAACAGGTCATCAAACGTGCATCCAGACGTCTCTATATCCTGTGCAAATTGAAGAGGAATGGAGTTCCAACCAGTGATCTTGTGTTCATAACACACAATGTATATCCGACCATTGATGGAATATTGTGCACCAATGTGGAGCAGTAGCCTGACAACACAGCAGTCAGATTGCATAGAGCGGGTACAGCGTAGATCACTCAGGGTGATATCATACCCTGATCAACATCATTATGAGGAACTCCTGAGCAGCTTCGGCATTCCCTCCCTTGCCAGGCGAAGGAATGACTTACTTACCAACTTTGCCAAATCAATCCTCAATCATCTCTCGCGAGGTGGACTTCGGAATTCTAACCACCTACACATTCCTTATGCAAGAACTGAACGATACAGAAAATCAAGTGTCCCCACACTTGTCAAACTGGTCAATGCTCAGTTGTAGATCATCTATAGTAATGTATCCTATTTGTTTATCTTCTTCTTTTTAATAATATTATAGTTATTGTCTTTGTTTAATTGAACTCAAGATCGATCCCCAAATCAAAATTTCGTGCACATATTATTGAGTGCTCTTCATTTTGTTCTTAAACCACCGAGTATAATTCTGCTGCAATAACATAATTTAGCTCAACTTTAATTTAAAATGTAATGTTGAAATTCAACAGTTATAAGATTTTGTGTATGCTCATAGGCATTATACATCACTTTATATAAAATGCCTTAACGATATATTTTTAATGTAATAATTTCATTCAACATAATTTGACCTTACCTGTCACACAACAGACACACCTGCATGTATACTTTTTTCAGTCTATCGATCTCATTTTAACAATTGCAATATAATAATTTCCTCTTTCTCTCTCTCTCTCTCTCTCTATATATATATATATATTTTTTTTTTTTTTTTAATATTTTTTTATTTAAAGATTATTTTTACTTGCAATAATTGGTTCAATATTTCAAGTAACTGTTATAGGTTGTTCATCCATTTATTATCATTTATTTATATATGTATATAACTTTAGGTATGAACAATAATAATAACTTTATCTTTTATCATTTTTATTGTACATTATTTTGTATGATCATTCCTGTTTTTATGCACATTTTATGTAAACATTGCATTATTGGTCCCTGGACTACTGCATTGTACATTATGTTGATAATAATAAACCGAAATTGATTTGATTTAATTTGATTTGATTTATATCGATATAGTTGTTTTTACATGCAAGTGGCATCCTGTACATTGACCCATACACAAGCCCTACATGTGAATCAATTACTGAACTTTATATTTTTAATATGTGATATTCTAGGCTTATGTAGCGATTGATACACCTACGATGTCTCTAAGTGCTTTACAATGTTTTATGAACCCTGTCATCCGATTCAGGCTCGCTCTAACACAGCGTATGCCCATTCTCTACATCATACATTAGCAGCCCTATGAGATGTCAGTATAGAATTCCTGTGTACTTTGGTGAATTTGATATACATATTGACTCGATGAAAGAACTTCTATTATGGGTGTGTCATTGATTTTGACGGTATTTCAATAAATTATTATGTTAAGTATTACTGTCTCTGTTTGTGTTTGTTCAGTTCTGCCAGTCATTGAGAAAGCACCAGTGATAGTGAGCACCACGTCAACTACAGTAGGTCTTCGGTGGAATGCATGGTCTGAAGAAGATGACGTAGGTGATCCTCCTCTGGTAGGATATGATGTCTTTGTAAAGAAGGATGGTGACTGGGTAACGGATCAGAGAGTAGATCAACTAACAACATCAGCCATCGTTAGTAACCTGACACCCGACACAGATTACAGGTTTCGTGTAGCAGCAGTGAGGGAAGGAACAGGTGGAACAGGACCCGAATCTCCTAGGAGCGACACAATAACTCTCTGTAGAAGTAAGTTATGCTCAGAAGAAAATAATTGAGTGTATTGGAGTTATACATTTGTTTACAGGTACATTGTCTTTGCGTTTTAGTTATTGATTTGTACATTTTGATGTACATTTGGGATATTAATGCACTTTTCATTGATTGAATGCACTTTCCATTGAAATGTTTTATTTATCTAGTTTTTTTTAGTAAAGTCTGTACAAAGAAATGTTTGTATTTTAAATGTTCCATACATTTTTTCTTTAATTCTTTTTATCTTTCTAAATTATGACACCAACAATTTCTTCTACAAAGCATACGTTTCCCTATAAAATTTGTTTATTATACCCTTCATTGTGTTTGGCTCAACGGTAGTTTCATGTTCGACTTTTAATCTACAACTACATGAAGTCTACCTGTAGAAGCAGTGCATGATTTGACTATGACCTGCATGACCATGTGATGTATTCATCTACTATATATGTCCAAGCCATTTAGTATATTGTGTATACTTTAAACCTTCAGAACCCAGTGCTTCCCCAACTGGAATACTAGTCGCAGCCATCAACCCTAAAGAGCTAGAGGTGACATGGGAGGTATGAACTGTTTTAAGAATAGCGGTTTGGTCGCTTCGTCAAATGTAGTTGGATGAAAAGACTCGTCCAGAGCACAAAATGTATAACTGTTACTAGTCATATTTTTATTACAATCAGGTAGAACCGCACCGTTATATGTGATATGAAGATGGTAAAAACACTTACAACCTTATTAAGCTTTCATTTTACCTATTTTTTGTCAAGATATGTCAAATAAGAACTCCTCCACGCCACTAACTATTTGTGAATGTTTCTGTACGTACCTCAACAGTTGACTAAATTAAATAGATCTTGTGTAAAACATACAAAAAAATCTAAATAGTACCAATTTGTTTTGTTTGCTAGTTGCAAGTAAGAGCTGTTGGGCTTATGAAATTGAGTTTTTATTTTATGTTACAGAAGGAAGCAAATATAAAAATGTTTTGTAATCAAGAGATTCTTGTTTAGCAGGACCATATAGCAGCTCCCTTTAATGCGAAAACTGTAGATTAAAAAAAAAACAAGATAACGGCTCATAGTTTTGTTCATTAGTGTAAAAAGTAACTTCTTGTACGTGGTTATGCTGCATGTAACATGAATTTGCTTTTTAATGTTTCAGCATCTCCCCTCGGAATCAGCAGACTGCAGGAGTGGAGTGACTCATTATATGATCTACTATGCTCCCTCTGGTTCAACTTCTTCAAACTCTATTTTGGTTTCTCCTGACAATAGCTCCTATGTGATAAGAGGGTTAGATACCTATCTGGACTATATCATTCAATTGACTGCATCAAATAAAGACGAGGAGAGTGACAGGAGCAGTGAGACTGTCAGCAAAACACTTGAAGAAGGTTGGTGTTAATTAGAATGTATTTTTGTCATGAGGGTGAGGGAGTGGTTTCTTTGTTCTTGTAGATATTTTTGTTACAACCTTTGTCCAACATGGTTTGTTTTTTGGGTTGATACTACTTTTGGCTCATTTCACAATATGCTTTCAGTTTCATCTATAAATGGAATTGATCTTGATAGAGAGGGAATCATTCATTCTGCTAGACTGCAAACTGTAAGGTCCGTATACTGCCAATTCATTAAACCCAACTCGAGGACTACAGTTTATTAGAATCAGACCTCCGTATGACTTCTTTGTTAAACTCAAAATCTGACTATGCTTAATTCCAGCGTTGGGTTGAATCTTAAAGTATGGGCCAGCACGTGAGATATCGGAGGAGATCGATAGCAATGGAATCTGTAAATATATCTTTTAATAGCAGTATTTGTATACTAAATTACTTTGTCTGCACAATACAAATCATATACATGACTCTTCGAGGCATTAGATTACTATTTCCTAATGTCATTAAATTGTCATTTTTATTCAAACCCTGACGTATTTGTATACAATTAGTCGCTTTAAAATAGATTTGTGTTCTGGAATTGTTAGGACGAGACTAACAAAAGTAATTGATATTCCGGAATATCAATACATAAGTCTACAATATTTCAGCGTGACATTGTTATAAACCATTTTCTTCTAATCAGTCGCGCCTGCTCCTATCAATGTGGCTATACCGCGGAGTACTACAAGCTCCTTCACTGTATCCTGGTCTACTCCTCTAACATCTAACAACAATGGTAACATCCAGAAGTATATCATCCGCTACAAGCGAACTGATCCAGCTGGTGATGGCATTTATAAGATGGAGGAAGTATTGACTGGTTCATTAGATGGAGAACATACTGTGATGGACCTAGCCAGTGAAATCAGTTATACAGTTCAGGTAAGATGTCTCGACATCAATCGTTAGGACCCAACGTTTAAGGGAATATTTAATCTCTTCATATTTTAGTGCAAGCTTTCCCTATTTAGAACATTTTAGTTTGAGCTGTTATCCTAAGCGTTTTTGGAGAAACTATATACTTTGGGATGAAATTATGAAGTGATTCTTTTTTTTTAATTGTGCCATTTATGTAGCAAGCATTCCCCAGTTACATGCATGCTACTGCATTAACCCTAATAAGGCCGGGCTATTTGAAGTCTTACTACGGCCGGGGGGGGGGGGGGGCCATTATGGCCCCCCCCCCCCCCTAAGATCTCGGCCGTGAAACGGCCGATCTCCGCGAAAATTTGCACGCATGTCAAGTGAAGTGTATAAAACAATATGATAATTTCAATTTTTTGAAAAAAATCCCTCATTTGCATTTATGGTAATTTATGCAAATAACGTCATAAAATCACATTTTTACCCATAAATCCTATATTATTCATATTTAAGCATTCTTTTTCACTACATATATTCATTAGACCATTTGGAACAATAATACGACAAAAAAATGGAAGAGCCAGCTTATTCCTTATGTTATCTCTTGTTTTGATAATTTCTTATGTATTTCATTGTTTTTTTAACTTATTTATGTTATTGTTTTTTTGTTTTTTTTATTTCTTCCTACAATTCAACTATTTTGACTCCCAAAACAACCACCTAAACTTTAAACAAGACCCAATAACCAATGTTTGATCTATTTTTAGGAAAAATGACATTTCCATATGTTTTGTACACAAATCACAAAAATGAGCGATTTTCGGGCTGACATGCAAAGACAAAAGGTCACGTGACCTTGTAACTATAGGTCCGATTTTTTTTTTTTTTTTTTTTTTAAAGATGCGCAAGACTCTAAAGAAAAAAGTCAGCGAGCGGCGAGGCGCCATCCATATGCGTTCTCGAACAATCAGAAAAATTGTGGAGGGGGGGGCCATAATGGCCCCCCCCCCCGGCCTTATTAGGGTTAAACGAAATTACATTTGATTGCTTTAATAGCATTTAAATACATGTATTTAACTGTTGTTATGCGGTCGCTTATGATAGTTGTATTTTCTCCAGGACATGAATATCTATAATTAAGATTGAAACAATTCTTTTGTGTGTCTTGTGTGTGGACGATGTTTGTATCGCCATTATTGCTACAACACCATATTCTTATTTTCATGTTTGTCAGGTCCAAACTGTCAATGGAGCTGGTTCTAGCAATTGGTCCGAGCCCGTGAATGCAAAGACCATCCTCTCAGGTAAGAGCATGAAACAAATTAAACTTGTTCTACCCTGAATGTCATACTTAAAAACATTGTGTAGGTAATGTGGTTTTCCAAAGGATGTAAAAGTAAAGTGCATTCGGCATTTTAATTAAGTGTTCCTTTATATATTCGTGTGTTTTATATTAGTCCTGTTCTTTATATGGATGCTTTTATGCGATTTATTTTTCCTTTTTTTCATACAAGTGTGCCTTGAGCATTTGATTTCAAGAGAATAACGCGCCTTACAAATCTCATGTATTATTATTATTATTATTAAATACTAGCTACATGTCAAACTAAAGTCAGTTTGTAACCTTAATAAGTATGTATATAAGTTTGTAGTTTATCAGCGTTCTTTTCATATTCATCCTAATATTACTCCTTATTCTCTGTTTGATTGGCTGAGAAAGTTGAATAGTCTGCATTAATCATGTATAGTTTAATATAAGGGGAAATGGAATGTATACAATTTTCTAAAACATTTCTTTGTTACAAGTTTTTGTGAAACTTTATGAAACGATAAGAAAAGTTGTCATTTATGGAAGTAAACATAATCTACACTGTTGCTCATAAAGATGGAATATTATTTTTTTACCCCATTTTATGGAATTATTTTTACAATGATTTATTCCTAATAGATCTAGAAAATAGTATACATTCTCAGGTTTTATTAAATAATAATTTGCCAGTGTTTGTTTTGCGTAACTGCTAAAGCATGTGTATGCTACTATGCTTATCAACTAGGGGACCTATGCCCTTAAGTAAAAAATGACAGTAATGAGGATTAATGCCCCACAAAAGGGCACTTATATAGTCGACACGGTTTTGATCCTGGGGCCTCACAGTTACGAGGATATTGCTTTGCCACTGAACCATGAATGTACGCAGTGTGGGGGGGGGGGGGGAGGGTAGGGGGCAGTTCCCACAAAAAAGTGCAATAAATTATCAATAATTCATTGAATTTCCCCCCCCCCCCCGGTCCCCAACAGAAAAAAATATTTTGTGTGCCCATGCTTTGAGCCATAAAGCATGGCTGTACAGAAGATTTGTTTATGTTGGGGACCGGGGTAAAATGTAATAAATTGTTGTGTTGTCGTTAAAGGCTAAAATAGCGAATATTTACATGTTCAAACTTGGGTACCGCATAAATCATTCCTCGACCCTCTCATTGTTTGCTTATTTATTTAAGGATGCGTGTAATTTGAATCTGCATTCACACTCAAAAAGATATGTTTATGCAGATGATACATTTATATTTAATAATGATGTTAATTTTACTCAAGTTAAGATTAATTTACAAGATGATTATGATCTTATTGTTAAATGGTTTGAAATTAATGGCATGCATATACACCCGGATAAAACAGAGGTCAGTGCTTTTGGCTCTAAAAGTTAGACTTCTTTTTTTTGGGGGGGGGGGGGGGTTCGTGTGTTTGTATGTTGCAGCAGGGCGTCATTGTAAAGTATTTTTTTAACTGAATGACCTACACTGCTCGATAAAATAGACACGAATAAATAAATGAATAAACAAAATCAAGAAAAACTTTGTAAAACGGACAAAATGTATACCTCATTACAGCATAATTACATGTATGTGATTTTTGTTTGTGCTAAAGGTGATGATAGTGGTACCAGGAAACCACTAAGTGCTGTGATAGGGGGTGTGATAGTACCCATCGTTCTCATCGCAATACTACTAATTACTTTGGTGATGTATAGAAGGTAAGTTAACTCAACTACAGTAGAACAATTAAAAGTGAAGTCCATGCCACTATATGGTAACATTTTTACAAATATAGATATGAATTTATTTATCTAAAGGGAGCCAAAACGATAATTGATAAAGCGATTGCAGGATTATCCTATTCTAAAGGCCCTTAAAATACAGTACATTCATACAATGAATGGTTTATAATGATTTTGTTTTAAATGTTATAAGGGACATCCACAATTATACGCAGTGAGCTGTTATGCTCATCAGGGACCATTCCCACCTCACTTTTATCTGAACTTTGTGTGCGTGTGTGTGTGTGTTAGTGTGCGTGCGCGTGTGCGTGTGTACCTGAATCTCAATGGTATTACAATGAAGGAGGAACTTAATGCGTTTTTATTATTGAATTTCACTTCCAGGATCAAACAAAGACGTTTAGAGACTGAACCAGCCGCGTCCCCACCAACCAATGCACGTGAGACCTCATCAAAGTATGAGAACCCTGTATTTGATGACTCAAAGCAAGACCCCAATACCTACGAAGACCCGAATGCTGATACCCATGTCTACCAAGATCTTGATACAGATACCCCAAACTACCAGAATCTTACCGACCCCCATACCTATCAAGATCTAAAGAAACCCAACACTGACGTTACCTATCTAGAACCCATAACATCAGATCCGAGAGACACTTACGAAGAAATATAGAGGCAGCCCTAGCGAGGCAGAGGCTTGGGTATGGTGCCAGCAATGATACATGCTGGATCAACAATAATGAACATGTTATGCAATACACAGAGTTGGTAATATTTATCATGGTGCTCATACTTCCTTACTATGTGCTCATACTACGGTAGTACACTATTTCAATTGTTGCAAGAATTATAACAAAACTTAAACAGCTTCTTTCAAAATGTTATAGAAACAGTAAATATCTTATGTGGTTTTTATATCCTGGTACTTGGTTAGATAATCCCTTTGGCAGCTCACTCAGGAAGCTATACTGGGATGGTAGGTGATCATGAGGCGAGTAACTACAATATCACTTCTAGTTTGTAAATTTAACGGATGAAAGGGTAAATTTACGTCTAATTTCGTCAAAGTGATTGTCATTTACAATGCAAAAATGCCACTTTTCACTGATTTAATATTTGTGTACAATAATCTTTTTTTTATCTGTTTTTCACTTCAAGCTGTGTAACATTTCTTATCGTCAGGTTATAGATAATGTTTTGTACAGATTGGTTAAACGTGTAGATTATATAGATTTTTTTCGAATCTTGAGGATAAATATCTTGTTGTAAACTTGTGTAAGAATATATATTATTCAGTGTTAAGGTCTATTACCCGCCAGCACCATTGTCGAAAAAATCAGTATGATTTCTTTAAAACACGTCGGTCACCCTTTTGCCCAGGTAACGCATGGATAAATTCATGATAGACAGTTCAGCCTTCGCTTGCTTTCTTCACCTTTCTGCCAGTCACCCGTTTGCCACACGTGCAATTTTGTACAAATCAATAGGCACTAATTTGCGGAATCATTACTTTGTGCAACACAATCCGGCGCTTTGTAAAATAAACTAATTTCTGGTGATGATTAGCTCCGTGACAACCATTTTAATACTGGTACAGAATGATGTTGCACTGCCACCTTCAGAATATTCAGACCAGCCTGAAATAGTAATTGAATGCAGGTAGTTTATTTGTTCTGAAGATCAAAATATCTTTCTCTCTCTCTCTCTCTCTCTCTCTCTCTCTTTCCTTCTGTCTTTCTCTCTCTCTCTCTCTCTTTCTCTCTCTCTCTTCTCTTTTTTTTTCTCTCTCTCTCTTTATCTCTGTTTATCATGTCGGTCACCCCGTCTATCATGGATGTTTAAGTATTTAAGAGGTGGACATAGTGCTTAGAAATTTTTGTTTAAATATTGGATCCAGAAAATTGAGGATTTGTCTCTTTGTTCGCATTTTATTTGCGAAAAGAGCGATATGTATTGTTGTGACAGTGGCACTTGAAATTACTTTATCACCTAAGTCATTTGTTTCTTGTACTATAATTGATGCATGACATGAATACATATATATTTGTAATAGCACTTCCTCAGGCAAGGTTCCTAGTATAGCGCCATCTGTTGATATTCACTTGATATTAAACACTCAGAAGGCTACATGAACATGGTTTTGCTGAGGTTCAAAAATCCCCTTCTTGCCAGCGCATCAAGGAGATTTAAGTCATAATGTTGTCATTAAGTCAGGCAAAGAGGTTATATATTTAATGTATTTCTACGAATTTTCGAAACATAAAGTGGAATTTAGTGTGTATGTTTTGAACCTCATACTGAGAGATGTTTATGTTTGCAGTATGTAATGTAAGAAATACAAGCCCATGCTGGTTTAATATGATGAATGTATATTTTACCTTGTATCAAGAACAAAGATAACAGTTAAGATACTGCTAAATACTTTGAAGATATATTATGAGAGTGCTGAAGCACTAAGTAGAGATTTGGAATTTATTATTGTCTAGTTAATTGTTCAACCAAGCTATTATAATGAAGTCTAGTTGAGACACTAGTAATGCGAGTTTGTATTTATGTAAAGCCATAATGCAGATGGACTAGAATAGTGCCTGGGAAATTTGAATAGGTTATAAAGATCATGACACAATTTACATTATTTCATGAGTTTCTCAAAGAGACTGTGTTATTGCTGTATTGATGATGCTATGATGTTCTTGTATTTACGATTCTTTATCTGTGATTTATCCACAGTTTTCACGGAATGAAACGGATGAAATGGTTACTCAAATCATTAAATGCTACAAATTCCCGTAGAAGCCTTTGTTCAGAATTGTTTATTTGATATCGACCTCGCTGCAGCCACAGTATCGTATTTGTAGAAAAAAAAACAGTTGCCTAACTTTTATGTTGACATGTTTTGTTCATGAGGTAAATTGAAATGCATTCATATGTTTAAAGTAACAGATATCGAAAATGAAATGATTTGGTATAATAGCGATATCAAAAATAGATATGAGTTATTGCATTTTCCAAACTGGATAAGAAATAATATACTTAAGAGTGTAAGAAGTCTTAGTAAACAGTATTTGGAAAGAAGTTGATTCCATTTTTTACATTAATTTTCAAGAAAATGAATTACTTTCCGCCTTCAAATTGGCAAAGTTTAAAGTGTATTTCCGATTTCCGATTTTTGGTTGCAGAAGTTACGTAATAGGATACAATATGTAAATATTTCCGATACACAGATCCCAGATACAACTAACCACCTTTTCAAGGTTTGTCAAAAGGTTTCGCCTTTTTGGAAACTTGTATTCAAATTAATGGATACTTTAATTTTGAACTCTTAATGAACGAAAAAATTATTTAAATAGGTCATGAAATAGAGAGAAGAGAACTGAATCTTGTAAATCTTATTTTAAACTCTGCTCAGCTTATTATCTATAGAAACTATATAAGTCTTTTTAGAGAATTTTTGGAAGTGAAAAGCGATACATGCTGTATTTGATAAAAGATCTCAATATGGAATGTAATCATAAGAAATTCGATAAAAACGAAGTAACTAAAATATTTCATTATTTTAGTTAGTGATTATGTCACATTAGTTTCATGTTTTGTACTAAAGAGTGAGTCGAATAAAAAAAAAAGTATACACCTAGCAAAATTCCTAATTATTTAGAAAATCATTTATAAACAGTAAATTATTCTTCTTCTTGTGAAAAAGTGTTTTATCCCAAATCTTTGGTATCATTTTGGGGTGGTTTGTGGTCACGCTTGAATGAATAGGACACATTGATTTAGAGAATGCAAATATCGACTTGCGCCAAAGTGATGTCTGTATGTATTATTAAAACAATTGGGATTTGGGTTTTAATTCGCTCTTCGCAGATCCTAAAAACATCCCTAAGAAAACTAATCATGCCATACATATCAAAAACACACACTGAGTCACACTCAGTCAGTCATGCATACACACACACCAACACACACACACACACACACACGAACACACATCCGCCGGCGCACTCCCACACTCGGATAAATGAAAAATACACGCAGCCAAGTCATTATTACGTAAAGAACATTTCTGTAAAATCGCAAATTTTCCGTTTAATATCAAAACGGAATATAAATTCAATCATAATGCCATAATTAAAGTTTGGTGCATCACAATGAATTGTTTCTCCCAAAAGACTATGTCAGTCTGCATCTAAATGTGCTTTGTGTGTGTGTTCCTTGTGTGTGTTTGTGTGTGTGTGTGTGTGTGTGACTTTGCTTCTGAAAAAAGCATATTGCAATGCATCTCATATGATACATTCAATTCATTCTCTTCCTTTGAAACTTTTGCTCAAGTCGATTCTTGCACTCTCGCAAACAATGTCTCTTGTTCATCCAAACGTGAACACACCACACAGAAATGATACCAAACGACTCGGGACATAACACTCGTTCAAAACATGTATGATAATATTTCATTCATAGCTGACTTTTAAAATAAATGACACTTTTCTGAGTGTAAACTTTTTTTTGTTGACTCACACGGTATATATGATATGTTACAATCGCATGGATTCTGTATATAAACACTGTTGTAAATAGTTGTTTTTTATAATATGAACGAGTAAAGTCCTTCGAGAGAGGATAAATAGAAGGAAACAAATTCTGTATCTCAGTCCCTTCCTCCTCTCACCTATATCCCCAATATAGCTCTCTTCTCTCGCACACACCTTCTCTCTCACTCATTATCCCACTCTCTCCCTCATTCCTTCTCTCTCACTCATTATCCCACTCTCTCTCTCTCTCATCTCTTTCTCTCTCACTCATTATCCCACTCTCTCTCTCCTTCATTCCTTCTCTCTCACTCACTATCCCACTCTCTCTCTCTCTCTCTCATCTCTTTCTCTCTCACTCATTATCCCACTCTCTCTCTCCCTCATTCCTTCTCTCTCACTCATTATCCCACTCTCTCTCTCTCTCTCACTCTCTCTCTCCCTCACTATCCCACTCTCTCTCTCTCTCTCACTCTCTCTTATCTCCCTCTCTCTCTCTCTCTCCCTCATCTCTTTCTCTCTCTCATTATCCCACTCTCTCTATCTCTCTCACTCTCTCTTATCTCTCTCTCTCTCCCTCTCTCCCTCATCTCTTTCTCTCTCACTCATTATCCCTCTCTCTCTCTCTCTCTCTCATCTCTCTCTCTCTCTCTCTTATCTCTCTCCCTCTCTCTCTCTCTCTCTCTCTTTCTCTACCTGTATCCCTCCTACCAGCTCCCGCTCCTTATGTCCCCTTCACTCAATTCTTCTCTATTTCCCTACTGCTTACTGCAACTACTTATATTTTAACGTAATTGTATAATGTACCAAAGGACACAACAGACAAGTGTGTTTATCTCCCCTCCCCTTTTCTCTCTTTCTCTTTCTCTCTCTCTCATTATGAAGAAAGGGAAAGAGCAACTGTGTTATAGGACACAAAGATCAGATGACATGTGCTCCATGGTCTATCTCCTATCTCCTGCATGAATCCCTTCTACATTCATGTTTAACCCTAGTCCCAACTCTGTACCTTAACCTAAACCTCTACCTAATGGTAACCCAATCACAATGCTAGCCCTAACCATACATGTCGCCTAAACAAATATCAGGTTACCACGAAAGAATTGAGATTGATCTTTTTTCTTTTTTATTCATGCAGTGTAATAACATTCTATATATAAATATATATAAATGTCTAGATAACATACACAGCCTAATAAATTCAAACTAAGATCTTTTGTTACTCAATGTATATGTCACCTATAGAATGTAGACAAAGGTATGAAATTAGTAAAGGTTTTGTTTAGCTTGTGAGAATGTATTTTGCTTAGTCCATCTACCAATTAGAAAAGTAATCATCTGTAACAATTTGACAAGAACCAATTGCATGTCCATGGTTTTGTAGAAAAAAAGAATGCGATTCCAACGATGAGCTTGGATAAATATGAATCTCCTTAAATTGATATTAAAACATTTTATCCAGACACCAGGGCCCTGTTTCACAAAACTTGTCATCGATAACAAGATACCATAACCGTTATAAGCTACTGAAATCCTGGCATTTGATTGGCTGAGAGCAAATTTGTAAATTTGTCATAGCAATTTAGCATTTGTTATTGATAAAAAGTTTTATGAAACAGGGCCCAGAATCATGAGTCTAATATAGGTATTTTGTGTAATTACTCAGTCCATGCATTTCATACGAAAATTTATAAAAATCATTTTCCACCTCTATATGTATAATTAAGTTTTGCATGGTATGGGTCAACGACTGTCAGATTAATCCACAAAGTACCTCAAAATACCTCAAAATATGAGTATTCCAAGGCACTTGTCTGTAAAAGTGTACAACTATAAAGGCCCATACTAATAAAGTATACAACTATAAAGGCCTATAGACTAAGCAATCATTTTTTTATTTTATAAAGTTATGAAAAACTAATAAAAAATTCAGCTACAGGATATTTTCTAACATTTACATGCACCTAACAACTCTTATCACTCCTAACAACTCTTATCACTCCTAAAATCCTTTTCTAAGTATCTTATTCCAACTAAGTATCCACTTTGCGATGTTGAATACTAGAGTGTGTATGTCTATGCTGTTGGTCTCAAAGAAACGATTTTGACCACTTATACCATGAACCATCTTCAAAGGCATGGATCACTATTACAGATGAAGACCTGGCCCTTGTTTATGAAACGGCCATTGCAGCAATCGGGCGATGGAAGAACTTAATTTAATTTAATTTAATTTAATTAAGGAACTTTACATAACTATCCTGATCTAAGGAGACATGAACGAACGAACCATTACAATATATATCTGTTTTGACCACAATACAATATGAACTTCAAACAAAGTTTACACTCCAAAGCCAGTGGGGCATTTACATTTTGGGTGCTTTCTTCAACTCTCTGCAAGGTCACTTGTTTGCCACACGTGCACAAAACGATTGGCACACCACTAAACAAAACGATTAATTGTGCATCATGGTTTTGCAAAATTAAAATAGATTAATCTTACACTGGACATAGTTAAATAATCTTGAAAGCCTTTGGTAGGCCTATATCTATCCCATAAAAAAATAACATTGGCTAACATGTGGCAAAGGGACGATATCTGCATCGCATATAAATAGTATACATTATTATGAGGTAATGTTATTCTGACCATCAGAAAATGATGAACTTGTGCTTTACTTATGTCGTATTGTAAAAAAATTATGTTTAAATGTCTTATTATTGTCAAGATAAGTAGGATTAGTAAGGGACATCAAAAGGCCTGTCATACACTTTTAGAAAGAGTTAGCGCCTTTCTGTCTCTAAATAGACAAATCACAAAGGCCTGTATTCACAAAGGAGGTTTAAATTCAACCCATGGTTTAAATCTTTGTTTACATAACCAATAAGCAAGACACAGTCAGAGGTCCAATATTAGACGCGCCCAAGGCAAGCAACACCTATTTTGCACGACGGTAATTTTTAAACCATGGGTGATGTAAATGAGGGTTTAAAGTAACCATGGGTTAAGTTAAACCTCCTTTGTGAATTCAGGCCCTAGTGTTTACATCACAAGAGTGGGCACCTGCCATTATTGCTTGATAAATAGTTTAAACTAGAGATCCATGTCACAACTCATCATTTCTGCTTCCTCCCAGTGCTTTGACTGCAGATTTCATTGCTTCAGTCACTGAAAGGGATGAATGAGAGACAACAAAAGATATCAAAATAGAGAAACCATAATTGCAAAATTTCATTCAAAGCTGAATATATAACAAAGATTTGACAAGTGGCAATAAGAGGGAAATAAGATTTAGAAAAAAGTTGTTGCACAATTTAATAATTGGTTAAGAAGTGAGGGAACCAAACAAAAACAAAGAGCGTTTAGATCCTACATGATCACTAGCAGGGGATCTTAATTATTTGTACCTTACTTGTGGAATTCTCAACTTCATATTTGGCAGATTTGAATTTGAAGTACATGTATATTGTTCAGGAGATGTAAATCATTTTGAAAGGAAGATTTGACTGAGAATGCAACCAAGCATATTTTTTGTTTTGTTGCAATGCCACAGTATTGTTTGTACCTGTCTATTCGAAACGTTGGGTGGGGCTCCCGGCCCCCCCCCCCCCCCCACTCAGTGTTATTTAGGGTACGCATATGCGTGTTCCAACCGACCCCCCCCCCCCCCCTTTTCAGCAAAAGTCCGGTGTGTAAAGTCAATACGGCTCGACCTTTTTCTTTTGTATACGAGCCTTTTTCCGCACCCCCACCCCCCCCCCCCCCCCTTTTCAGCAAAAGTCCGGTGTGTAAAGTCAATACGGCTCGACCTTTTTCTTTTGTTACGAAAAGGACATTTTGGCAACACGCATGCGGTCATTTTGAAACCTGAGTGGGGGGGCCGGGGTGGGGCTGGAGGAAGGGGCTACATATTACAACCCCCCCCCCCCTCTAATCTGGCAGATCAATATCTATAGGAAGTGTGTTATATAACCTACTAGACATATACATGCATCACTCACGACTAGCTGTACATACCCATTAGAGCATTTGAATAGAAGTACTTGTATTGGGGATTTCCTAACGTGTTGATTAGGTCACTTTGAACTACGCCGTCTGAGTTTAGAAAGAGTATACGAGGAATGTATCCACCGTCGGGTTGAAATTGAGACCCTTCAGGTTCCTCGTCATCCTGGGGAAGATAAACATCACAAAACATCACCATGAAAGTTTGATCTCTTAACTCTCTCAGTACCATTATATATACTTCTATCAACATCAGTTCCTACTTTTTCAACTCCCAAAGTAAATCTTTTGATCCACTGGCCCACAATTTTAGAAACAAATTCCCTGCATTTTTTAACAATATTAATTCCCTTCACTTCTTCAAAAAATAAAATAAACACATACCAATTCAACTACATGTACTTAAAGTGTACCGTTAACCAAAACATATCTTACTCGTGATGTAACGGGTTCCAAGTCGCTATACTTTATTTAAAATATAAGCTTCAAATATTACTTCGACATAGAGATATTATATTTTAAATATTTTCTCAGTAAAAAAGCCAACACACAATTATGCACTTGCATAGAATAGAGAGCGCACGAAACCCAAGTGTGACTTTTTTTCTTTTCTTTTTCTTTTTTTTTTTTGGGGGGGGGGGTGGTATTATACATTTTAGGTACATGTATACACAAATATATATTTCCATTGACTGATGCACTTTAACCTGTTTATACACTAGAGGATAGTGCCTTGTATAATTTGAAATCACTATTGTCATTATTCCTGCCATAAAATGTTCAAAATAAGGGGCTGAAGGCAAATCTGGAATACACATTCACATTCTAGTTTCAGATTGGCCAAAAATTTCATCCATGATACGTGAACATGTTTTGAAGAATCCGGGCTAATTCAGCTCAAAGACAAGTCGGCCCAGCTGCAAAAAACGGTCAGTTTTTGTCATTTTACCCTAACCCTAACTCTAACCCTAACCCTAACCCTAACCCTAACCCTAACCCTAACCCTAACCCTTAACCTAACCCTACACCTGCAAAAACAGACCGTTTTTGCAGCTGGGCCGAGTTGTCTTTGAGCCAAGTAAGCCCGACTCCGTTTTGAACTACTGAGATATCATTTTATATATATATAGGATTTTAAAATGACAACTCACCTCTACGTTGACCATCACAAAGTCGCTGCTTAATTTAAGTATTTCTTCACTGGCAGCAAACTTGGGTTTTAATGCTACATGGTGAAGACAGGAAAGGAAAACAGAGAGAAAATCAACGTGTGGAACACAATGCAAAGTGTCACAATGGGATAACATTCATCAGGATAAGAAGCAATCATCACTTTACAACAGGGCTCTGCACTATTTTTTTCCATGCAGGGTCTGAATTGAAACTGTACGAGACTAGGATCCCATGACTTAGATTGTAAGTAGGCAATTATATCAGTCTAGCCACTGTCAGTATTTAGCTATATTTGACAAGTTTGATGATTATCAAGTTAAGGGTATGAATAATTTAGTTGTTAAATGAAGGTCTCAGATAATGTTTAACACAGAAAATGTAGAGTAACAATGCAACTTGGAGGGAGAATGGCCTCAAAACGTAAAGTCCTTCGAAGGGGGGGATCCAGGACTCTCTTAGAGACTCTTGTCTATTTGGTTAAGATACTCTTGATCTGGTTCAATCTGAGACATATTTTGAAACATTTTCAAACAAATTCCATGACTAATATTTCATGAGTAAAGTTTGTTGAGAAGGATTTGGACCTGAGTGTGTGTGTGCGTGGGTCAGAATTGGTTCTTACAGACATGATATGATTATCTACTATAAGTCTGGGGACCGACCTGTTACCTCACTATCCTAAAGACATGGCTTAGTTTCGTGCCGAGGTACAGAAAGCTTGCCAAGTGACTAATAATATAATAATAATAATATTTAATTTTTATACAGCGTAAATGTCTCTAAGCGCTTTACAAATATACTATTACCCTGGTCATTGGATTCAGTGCTTGACTGCACACACTGTGTGCACAATCTCCACCCCCTGGGAAGCATTCCAGCCGGGCGTTACTTGACGCTCACAAGCTGTTTGACCAACAATGACGGCCGCATCCTACCGGGTACCCATTTGACACCTGGGTGGAGAGTAGCAAGTGCAGGTTAATATCTTGCCAAAGGATATTAGTGCTGGGTCCAAACTCTCGACCTTCGCATCTCCAGTCAAGCGCCTTTAACCACTCGACCACGACACTCCCGAATGTACTGCTAGATCAACTCACATCTCATAAAACATGTCCATTTAAAATTTAAACCCGTTGCTGTTCCACATTAAAACCTAACCTGTTTCCACTGTTCCAGCATGCATTATTCACTTCAGATTTGTCAAAAAGTTTTCTCATATACATCTAGAGCTTTCCTGCTTCCTTCACTATATGTCTGTCATTCGATCTCACATGAAGAGTGTGAGATTACTCACCTTTACATGCTCCACACCAAGTCTTGTGAATGACCAACATCATAGGTTTGTCGCTGAAAGAACAATATTATTAAAGATCACATGGTAATATACACACATACATACACTGTACATACGGATTCTGGCTAACTCGGACCCGGGGACAACGTTGCCCCGCTGCAAAAACTGTCAGTTTTTTGTCATATTACCCTGACCCTAACTCTAACCCTAACCCAAACCCTAAACCTAACCCTAAACCTGCAAAAACTGCCCAAGTTGTCCCAGGTCCGAGTTAGCCCGTCCCCATACATACGTGTACATAGTTTTGTGCTTTGGCTCAAAAACTTTAATATTCCTAGGTCCATATCAAATTCAGTACACATCAGCATTAGGCTATACTTAGCATTTTTACTTCGATAAGAAATTGGGATTGCATCTGAGCATTTTACTTTTAAAGCAAGCCAACTGCAAGGTAAAATAATTACTGACAAGCATTGTGATGTTACACGGTCACTGCAAATTTATGAGCAATAAACCCATCCCATCATATGCACCCTTATATAATTGTGCGCAGCATTTGATGACCTTATATGAAAACTATATTATGCTTGCCAATCAGGCCCTCTAGAATAATTGGTCTGCTAGGGAGGCTTATCCATCACATGTAGATCACAACACCTAGACTCTAGATATGTTTTAAGTTGGCAACACATGTTTAAGTTTAAAATCAACACTCCACACAAAGTGGCATAAGTTTTACTCCAGGATATTAGGTCCATGAATTATTACTTCAGGAAATCATTTATTTCCTACCTGAAAAGTACACCAATCAGCATCACCCATTTAAAAGAGAAAAACAAATAATGTATTTTAAAAAAGTGAAGTATGGGTTTAAACCAAATTGAGTAAGCTACTTATCATCATGAACTTACTTCTCTTTGGCTAGCTTCAATCCATCTTCAAAGGTAACCCAATCATATTGCTCTCCTAAACCTGTTAAAGGAAAAGAAAACATTTATCTCAAAAGTGCAGGCTTTTTCTTCTATTTTTTCATATTAAAAAAGTGATTTTGAAATTGAACAACAATAACGATTACTGTGTAAAGGCGAGCGCGGGGGTGAAGCTAAATTCAGCACACTCCCTACACAAGCCTAAGTACACTAAACTAATCAATAGGGACTTTTAAATTTGCGTGGACTGATACGTGTGACTTCCATTCACGGCAGTGCATTAAAAGGACGTCGACCGTAGCAATCCCCATTGTCTTCGTGCGAATCTAAAAGTCCCTAATGTCAATTGGTGACGTCATCATCCTTTATGCGCAGTAACAGTTTAAACTACGGCTGCAGGAATTTCAACACAGGGTGCAACTTCGACCAACAAAATGCTGGAAAAAAGAATTCTAAATGCATTATGCAGTCAAGCCTAGGCTTAATTTTCAAGTATAAATGTGTAGTCGTGATTCAGCCCGAGCCCCTATTGTCGTAAAGTGAGCGTCAACATTGAGCTGCGAAATCAGTCATAGTCATGTATTTGTGTTTCCGGCAAAACCAATGTTGCAAACTTTTGTGAGAAGTTAGAAACCAATTCCATGACAGTCATATCTTGTTTCACAAAACCATGATAAGCGACAAATTCATGCTTTTGATACTATCGGCTAAAAACCTAATCTTTGTCACGATCTATCAGATTTTATCCTAAATCAACAAAAGAGATTAGAAAAATGAGAATTAATTCGAAAGTACAAAAAGGTGTATTCTTTGCAATTTCTTTGACAAGTATTATGTTCACTTGGCCCGTAATTTTCCCGTAGAATACCTATCCCGGTGCCAGAAATTGACCCATATAATTATTCTGCTCAATTTGTTGTACCAAATTAGAAGGAAAACTGAAATGCCAAATACCTCCCGAAACGCAAATGTTACTAAAGCAGTGAAGCGCCAAAATAAAAGACGAACAATACACAACACATCCCATAAAGAATGAACATAATTGCAATGCTATTATTTCTCCAATTATAATGAGGTTAGTGTATATAAATGTTGTGGCATTTTACACCATTAGGGATATGAAACCGATTTGATAACTGAATATCTTTTGATTGTAAATACACAGGATAGGGGTATAATGAACAGTGAACGAAACCAAACGTTCAAATTGACAAACCCCCGGAATGACAGCATGGACGGCATTTTTTCCTTCTTTAACATATCGCGGTGTATGCAGCTGAAAATACAATGGCGTCTAATTTCGTTTACATGTGATGGATTCCTTTATTTTTTTATCGCCGCATTCTTCATCAAAATAATACCATGCGCGGGGTTTAGAGTGAAGCAATTGAATAAACATTTATCCTGACGGTAAGTGAAGTATTAAAGAAATAACTGAAGAGAAGATGACAAAACAGGCATTGGAAATGTGTGAGATGTCATTGGACATCGTCTGCTTGTGCAAATCATGTTAAACATGATTGTGACGTCACACATCTCAGTAGCGTTTGGAGAGTTCTTCAGGTAATATGCCAGGGCTATATTTAAGCGTTTTGTAATTGATAATAATCATTACTTCGAATGTTTCCAAGCATTGAATTTTGATAACCTTGTCTAATCAAAGTTTCACCTTTGCAATAATGACAATAATTATTTTTTTTTTTTTTAATCAATGAACCTTCTCTTAAATGGTCAATGCAATTTCTTTGAAATTAATTTCGATTTGATTGCCCTGCCATTAGCTTTCTCGCGAGAGACTTGATGACAGACTAACATCATGGATTTTAATAGTTCCGGGTACTAAAGGTATACAGACGGCATCTGATCGGGAAGTTGTTTGTGGATATTCACACTGAATGTCGGGTGAGAGTCCACCGTATACGGATGCTAGCTGATTGAGAAATTGAAAGTTGGAAAGTTGGAGTGTGAGATGTGGATGTTGCGGGGAATACTGGAGAAAATGGCATCATTCAAAGTTCTGAAACTATTTTTATCAACTCTGTCCCTTTTCGTCTGTTTTCCAAAATTGATACAAGGTAGGTTGCTAGTATCCATTTAAATCAATATTGGCGTGTGATTGTTTGCGTACTGAGGTGATCACGACTGAGTCGATGGTTTATGAAATATATATATATGATTCCTTTTTAAGGGCGGTGTTCCTGAGAAAGTCAATTTTCCTTTTTTTACGCCGATCCTCGTGCCGTTTCTATATACATGTGACTAAAGAATAGAACAATAAGATTATGATTTTTAGCTCTTATGCATGCATGTAATTTGGGAATAGGAACAATGTTTGAGATATATACATGTATATATGTATACATATTGTCCCCGACTTATTCTGGAAATAAGGGTTTTGATACTTTAAAACCTTTGCAGTTCATATATTCTGTAATATGTTCTGTAATATTAACATGACTTATTTACATAATTGCGACTTAATCAATATTTTCCTATTAACATAACTGTTTACTAGGTTGATAATATATGTTTATTTTGCAAACGAGTATTATTTTGTTAGCTGTTCTGTATAAACGTTATAAACGATGTATATGTTCATGTTCATTCAGGGCCCCATGGAAGACCACTACATGTTGGTGAATGGGCTACCCTGTCAAAAGATTAGAAATAAATAAATAAATAAATAAATAAATAAATTGAACCTTTCAAAAACGTCTGAGTATTATAGCATAGAATAAGCAAAATAATGTACAATGAAATTGTGAAATATAACGAATGAAGAGCAAAAAAACTGAATACGCTTAGCGCTTCCTAAATACATTCCTCAAACAGATACCTGCCATTCTAATACACTAAAAGCCTATAGATTAAAGATAGTTAACAATGATGAATATGACTTGGCTTAAACTTGCTTCAACCAGACTCTGATGTAAGTAGAACAGAAGAACATCTTCCATGGGTAGCCCTGTGGCTTTGAAGTCTGTCTCCCCAGTCCTTACCCTGCCAATTCAATCGAGTTAATTAACCCTCATAAGAATTTGGAACCTGAATTTGTATCAAACATTAGTTATGTACTTAATAATATAGTTCACCAATGGTAATTACATACATATCTCATTTGAATGTTTATCTGGTTTTATTTTATGAGCCCAGTAAACATATGGAAATTGTATATAAATATCGTGACAACTTCTATACGCATATGACATAATGCAACATATCAAAAATTAACAAACATGATCTTTCATCTCATACTAACTTGTGGATAGACAAAATATAGAATTACAAGGTTATAAAATGCGTTTTGACTTTACACTTTCGTTGGTGTTGGATTACCCAGCTAGTTGTCTTCTATGGACCTGCGCCCGCAACACCTCCGAGTTATAAACTTCTGAGTTTTAATGTGCAAAGTACAAGTTCTGTAGTGTTGCCCCAGTGCACTCTACCACTGGTCAAATTAGTAGGCACTATGAACATGACGTACAATGAAAGCGGACAAAATATACAGTTCCTCAGGTAGACAAAGGAACATCCCTTCACTGCTTTTATGTAAAAATGTGTGGAACAGGTGTCACATGCATATTCACCTGTTCTACACATTTTTACATAATAGCAGTGAAGGATGTTCCTTTGTCTACCTGAGGAACTGTATATTTTGTCTGCTTTCTTTGTCCGCCATATTTATAGTGAGGGTGGACCAACGACCCTTTGTCGAGCCCTTTGAATCCTATGGTCTTGAATCGGGAAAATGGCTGGTCTGAATCTATTTTCCCCAAGTTTCCCATTTTTGTTCATCCTTATAACATGTTAGTCTATTAAGGACCAACGTGTTTTTAGTCATAATGTAACACCTCTCCTGCACAAAAAGTTGTCCAAATCGGAAGAAAAATGTCAAAATGCATAAAGGATCAGATTTTGACGCTTTAATAAATTGCTCTGTTCATTTTGCTGAAACTATGAACTTCGGCCTCGAAATGCTATAAGTATTAAAAGCGCCTGGTTTAAATGTAATACCGTACACAAAATATTTTTAAACAAAATTTTTTTGTTAAAAATTATTTTAGTTAAGATAAAGAATTTCAGGTCCCGCTCCCCGAAGTCACGATTTTGGAAAAATTTCTTCTCGTTGCTCTATATCGAAATTTCTAAAAGGATTTCGCTCAAAATGAACCATTGCGAAAAGATATATGCAGGGTTGATACAACTTAGTTCCGTATTATCTCATTTAAATTTGCGTGCGAGTATTATCTATTGTTCACATTCTCAAACTCAAGTACTCGGGATACAATATGAGCTGATACAATTCAATATTAGTCTGGGAATAATTGTATTGATGATGATTTATAAGAACGCCGATATGTGCATATAATAAACCCGTTCTACCAATATGTACTGTGTACATATTCATGCACAATGACCATGGTTTCATTCAATAGAATTGGAACGATAAATGCATTGAAAATACTTCTATTATGATATGAAAAAATTCGTCGTACTTTGCCCTCAGCGAGCGTGGTTCAAGGTTGTGATATACGTCAATTGTGTTTAGGGGGGCTGACAGTATGCTTACTATTGTCCTGGACAGAACAAAATGTGTAATGCTTGAAGGGACAAAATTTCAGTCCTTTTCAGTTTATGCGCAGTTAATTTCCTTTTCAGAAATATCTTGATGACGAGAGAAATGCTTGTTGAACGTGAGGTGTCTGTTTGCCTGCTTCCAGCGTAGTTGATTCGGGGCTGTCCCCATTCTTATAATATCAGGGTTTTCATAGAAATGTTTAGACCTCCCCTAGCTGCTCGCATTTGATCTACCAACCAGACGCATGATAACACTTTGCAAATCCTCGACTTTCCCAGACTTGGTTTGACCGTTGTAGAGTAGAGTAGAGTTTTTTTTAATATCCCATAAGACTTACTACTGATGTAGGATGGGCGATCAAAAAGGGTAGGGGAAGCAAAACTTAAACAAAAAATGTATAGACCGGTAGCCTCTACAAAAATGTCAGGAAATCGGCAAATATATAATGTCCAAATAACAATGTAACTTTCGTTGTTGATACCTGAAAAATCACTGTCGTATTAAAAAATGCAAAATACAAATGTACGTGGGGTTTTGAAAGATTTTCATGATGAGTAGTCGCTAACCTCTTTCGCACGTTCTGTCTGTCTGATAAGATATAGTTAGAATCATCGTCTTTGCCGGACAGTAAGAATGATTACAGTGTTTGAATGCAAACCCCACTCCTCTCTTAGTAATAATGATAAACAGTTAAGGCTTATACTGTCGTGACCCTATAAGCCCAAAGTTTGCGTGGCTCACAAACCATACAGGCCCAGAGGCGGCGCTCCGGGAGGGGGGGGGTACCCTAAAAGTACGCCTTTTTACATAAAGTGCCACTTTTACCTTGTCAAGTGCCCCTATAACTTTGTAAAAGTGTCCCTCCCCTTTCCACCTCTTATGAGTGCCCCTTTTATTTTGACACGTGCCTTTTTACCCTTGACAAGTTCCCATTTACCTTTGCAATGAAGTGTCCATTTTCCATTCGCATAAATGTACTTTTTAAGGCAGTGCTATGGGAGTGGTTAACCCCAAAGTGCCCCTTTTTACATAGGAAAGATGCCCTTTGACTTCATAAGAAGTGCCCGTTTTCAGGTACGAAAAGTGCCCCTTTTATAATTTGAAAAGGGCCCCTTCACCTCTGATAATTGCTCTATTCAAATCTAAGTGGTGTCCCTTTTACTCTGACAATTGCCCATTTTTCCTTCTAAAGAGGTGTCCCTCCCCTTTTAATAACTACCCATTTTTAACTCAAAAGAGTGCTCCTTTTATTTTCACAAGTGCCCCTTTTCCTAATGATAATATCCCCTGTTTAAAAATAAGAGCTCCTTCCCCTTCTCATAACATGCCCCTTTTCATTTCCGGTAAATGCTAGTTTAACTTTGACAAGTGCCCCTTTCCCGTCCTGATAAGTGCTCTCTTCATCTCTGATGAGTGCCCCTCTTCCTTTCTAATAAATGCTCTTTTTCTTTTTGATAAGAGCCACTTCCCTTTCACTTCCCTATAAATGCCCCTTTTCTTTCAACAAATGAACAGTTTCCTTTATTACAAGTGCCTCTTTTGCATTTTCATAAGTGCCTTTTTTCATTTTCATAAGTGCCCTTTTTCATATCTGGTCGGTGCCCCTTTTCATGTGCGATAAGTGACCCCTTTCACCTCTGATAATTCCTCTATTACCCTTGATCCCTCTGATGTTCCCCTTGATATATGCCCATTTTCCTATCTACTAAGGGACCTATCCCCTTTTCATAAATGACTCTTTTTACCTCTTATAAATGCCTTGATCAAAATCTGATGGGTGCCCTTTTACAAGATTCAAGATTCAAGATTCAAGATAATTTATTGTCTGATTTTAAAAAAAATACAGAAATTCGTCCTCCACTGGCGAGTAACGTACATATACAAACAACATAAACAATATATAAATACATTCGAGGATACAAAGAAAATACAATAATAATAATAATAACAATAATAATAGCAATAATAGCATTAACAAAGCTGACATGTAAACTTGAAAACTGGCATTTAAAAATGAATCTTGATAATGCACAGAATGCATTGAATAAATGAATTTAAAAGTGCTCTGAAACATTCACCCCTTCTCTCCCAGAAAAGGGGTATGAGGAGAGAGAGAAAAGAACAAATGAGGGAGAGAGAGAGAGAGGAGTCGAATGGAGTAGAACAGAAAGGAAATGTGAGGGAGAGAGAGAGAAGGAGGGAGAAAAGAGAAGGTGACAGAAAACGAGGAGCTCTGGGAGGGAAGAGATGAGGTAGAGGTAGAGTACAGGATATCAAGAACAGTGACTGCCCGTGGTTAAAAAGACAAATGAGTCGTCAACATTCAAAAATTCGAAAATTCAGAGCTGCAAGCTAGAGATAGACCCTGTGCAGTAGAAAGTTAGAATAAAAAAAGTGTTCAATAAGGAACCTAGCCTTAGCCATTTCACATTTACATATACACAAGTGTCATGGGACAGCGGCCATAACATACTAAAAACATGTGAGAGGGCATGCATGAAGTCTGGTACATGTATGCAAAGAGATGCAGTGTAGAAGAGAGGGGAGAAATAATAAAAAGTGGTAGATAAGGGAGAAATGCACACCTAAAACAAAGCTTCAAGTGAAAGGAGGGAAGAGGGAGGGAGAAAGAACATAGCAGCTGACACTCATGCACGCACTCGAGATACGTTGTTCATTCATTAAAAGTTTAAAAGATTACTGTTTCGCATCATTATGGACAGAGTGAAAGGCATTTTAACACTATCATAAAAGACAGTTCTTCTCAAATATACATATTTGTTGAGTTGAAAGACATTTACTGTTATAGGTTACATTATTGCACTTAATACTGACATTTGAAATATTGACATTGATTAAAAAAATTGATTAAAAATTTGATCAAAAAAGCATGACAAAAGACCTCAACTGTTCGAAAAATGGTTATCATGAAAATGACTCTTAGTAGGAGACCAGCCTGTAGGTCCCGTGACCAATCTCTGGGAACAAAGGTTTGAAAGTGTTTTTGTGTTCCCTGATGAATACTGAACAATTTTGACTTGGGCTGCCCCCTTGAAAATCCCGGGCATTTTCGTGAGGGGTCAACAAAGGTCACACAGGGATAAACATTCGAATAGTTCCAATCTTGTCAATATGCATATTAAATTACTCGTCTGGTCATGAGGATTCAAAAAATGTATAGTTTGCTATACCTCCGACCTTAAATGAGGGCGCTATGGTCAAAAATGTTGAAAGGTCAACACACTTTTGACAGGTGGTCAACTTCTAAAACACAGTTAACCTAATCAAATCGCACATCAAATTACTCGTCTGGTCATAAGGATTCCAAAAATGTATAGTTTGTTATACCTCCGACCTTATAGGAGGGCGCTATGGTCAAAAAGGTCAATACACTTTAGAAATTCACCAACACAGTTAACATTGTCCGATTCTAATGATTTTAGTGTCTAATAATATGTTTCCTGACATGGCAAATTCAACTATACAAGTTTCAAAATTAAAAGTGCTTACCTTGACCATGTACATTAAAAATGGCTGCCGTTTCGGTGACAAACATCTAACAACTTCTTATCCATGGGTTTGGGGAAATTTTAAGATTATGGCAACCACTTTTGATTTTAAAAGTTGCTTAGTTGAATTTGTTATGTCAGAAACCATATTATTAGACACTAAAATCATTAGAATCGGACAATGTTAACTGTGTTGGTGAATTTCTAAAGTGCATTGACCTTTTTGACCATAGCGCCCTCATTTAAGGTCAAAGGTTTAACAAACTATACATTTTTGGAATCCTTATAACAAGACGAGTAATTTGATATGCAATTTGATAAGGTTAACTGTGTTGGTG